GTCGAGGAGATGGCGCTAGTGGGGGAGACGGCGTGAGACGAGTGGACACCGGGATCGGTATGGAGCATCGATCTTCCTGCCGAGGATCCGTCGGTTGCATGAGCTGCCAATGTGAACCTGGGTCTGCTGGAAGAAGATCATGCTGCTCAAACCATGGTCGAGGCGCTGTCGGTCGCATGTACGGATTGTGTCCGCGGGAAGGCCCGACTTGAGTAGTCTGCGTGGTTTGTGTGGTCAGTCCACTGACAGTCGTGGCTCTCTCCACTCGGGTGGGCGTTGCAGGGACCAAGCCTTGTGCGTCCGTATGTCTCCGTCGACTAGGGGTGCTGGGCATATCGTTGAGGGGAGCACTGCAGTCAAAGGGAGGAAGAATGATCAGCTCGATGGTAAGCTCTTTGACTCATTGACCATCTCGGCAATCACGTTGATGAGCTCGGCTGATGCCAGCTAGCCTGTGCAAGCGATGGAAGTGCTTCTGCCTCCTTCTGATCTCCTTGACCTTGTTGCTGACGCTGATCAAAATTGGACGACATACTGTATGCTGGCGTCTATGTGGAATTGGAGGCAAAGGTGGGCGACTATGCGCACTTCGTAAGATTGACTCGAAGGTGGCAAATGGATTGCGAAGAGAATGAACAGCCAAGAACTTTGACACAGGCGGATGCGGGCGAAAGGCAAAGAGCAGAGGGAGAAGAGAGTCAAGTGCGGCCGGCGCAGTGCTTGTGTTTGGGGCCAGTGAGGAGGACGTGTTTGGGAGATCGAATCCAGTTCGATACGCACTTCCAGATGACGAGCTCTCCACAAGTTGCTGAATGAACGTCAATGTTGAGGTCGGGTGCAATGGAGCGAATGAAGGTCAAAGTGCAAGCGACCAGCGCAGGAGAATCGTGAAGTGTAGGATGTTGGAAGAGCAGAGTCGGAGAGCATACATTGTGAACTTGAACTCCCTTAGTCCGAGGGAGAAGTGCTCCGCGCCTTTGCAAAGCCTTGTGCAGGCCATGACTAACCTTCCATTCCGCCTGACACCCTATGCATAGGCCCACAAGCCGAGGCGAGGCGAGCAATCTTCGATCTTGGCGGCGAGCAGCTCATGACAGCGAATTGTGAGTGCTGAGCACATGCAAGCTGATCGTTGACAACGGACACACCACGGCCAAACAGCCACCGGCTTGATTGCATCCAAAACCCGCCTTGCATCGCACGCACTTGCTTGCTTCGAACGCTTTCGCCTTGCCGCTTGAACTGACGCATTCAAGTTGAGTTGCTTCTTCTGTGATTCGCTGGCGTCGTGTATGCAAACACTCTTGACTGCAGAGCAATATTCGTGATTGACGAATCATTAGCAACATGCTTGTTTTCAAAGAGCGGTAATTGGCTCTGTTCACTGGTGACCCTTGACGTCCACACAACAGCCCTCGTCGGTGCGGGACTTCCATCGTTACAATCACGATCAAATTCAAAATTGTGATGCCTCTCCACCATTCGTCAGGACATATTTGACAGGTGCGCTTTGTGACGGGTCACGTGGCAACTCCAAAACAGGTAGCCTCTCCCTGCTTGCCCGCCGTGAGTTAGAACCGGACGCCAACACCTCTTCAAGACACACGAGACTTTCGCATGCCGTCGCACGCACAAAGTTCGAGAGGATGGAACAAGCTGCCCCTGCTTGGAGCAGCTTTGAAGATCATCACATTTCCCACAGCATCGTGGGAGCCCTGCACCAATAAGCCTCGAACGACCATCAAGACGCCACAAGAGAAAGTTAAAGGGGAGAGAGTGAAAGAGAAATAGAGAGAAGCGGAAAAG